TTGAACAGACTGTATAAAATAAGAATGAAGGAGGAAGTGAGGGTGTAAAAGATCAACCAAATGACTTGTATTCATGCATATTAGCATAATCAATGGACACAGAGACACGGGCGGTGGGGGCTTGCCCGGGGTGGGAATGGTTGGGGGGGAGGGGGTCAATTGGGGAAAAAGGAGACATGTGTAAAGCTTTAGACAATAAAAAAACAACAATACATATTTGTATGCATGATATTTGGACTTGTATATGGAATCAGTATTGTACCTAGTGATCACTGCTATTCTAACTGAAGTTAACCAGAAACCAAACAAAGGGAAAGCTTCAGGTATAACAAGGCAACACTTTCAATAAACCTTTTAAATTAAAAAAAAAAAAGCTCTTATTACTTTCATTGAAAAGAAGAAGAGACCCAGAGGGAGGAAAATAATAACTTGAATATAAGGCAGAGTAAATAGCAGTCCAATTTGAATGAAGAATGCATGTAACAAGCCAAGCACTGCTGGTTGGAAGCCAGATCAGGAAGAAATGTGAATGCTACTATCTTAGATTATGGACAGGCATCTGTAGTGAAAACTATCACAATAGTCTAGGCCAGGGGTGAGCAAACTTTTTCTGTAAAGGGCTTTGTGGGTGATATGGTCTCTGTTATAACTACTCTACTCTGCCACTGGAGCAGGAGAGCAGCCATAGACAATACGAAAGGAATGAGTGTGCCATTTGTAATAAAACTTTACTTATAAAACAGACAGTGGGCTAGTTTGACCTGCAGGCCATAGTTAACTGACCTCTGACCTAAGTGAAAGGTAAAGGAAGCCAGAACAAGGCAAGAGCAGTGAGAATGAAAGGCAGAATGAATGTAAGGATGCTAGAGAGACTGGATGAAGGTGAGGAATCATTACACACGCACACGCACTTCCTCTGCCCTTGTGTTCTCCTCCAACTGTTGGTGGCCAAACTTGTCTTCATTTCCTCATATCTAATTCATTCCTCAACCTATGTCCTGGCTAACTATCTACTGAAGCTACTTTTATGAAGCCACCAATCATTTCCTGTCAAGATCAAATGATTCCTGATTTATAGTGTCCTCTTCTTTCCTCATGGTTTCTGGTCCTTCCTAAAACTCTTCAATCTTTAAAACACTCATTCCACAGTTTGTTTCAGATTTAGTTCTCAGGCTAGTCACTCTGCTGGCCTTCCTTCAAACGAGATAAAATCCTCTCATGATTTGGAAACTGCTTTTCAAATCATGATCTCATCGTCAGCGGGGGTTTTTCTGTAGAAGTCCTTTTGCCCTGGGCTGTAGAGCTACTGTATGGCCTTCTAAAGGATGCACCAAGGTTTCATTGCTTCACAACCAGTTCTGTATTGTTTGGTTTTAGAAATCCCCATTTCAGAATAGGTAGTATCAGTCTGCATGGTGCAGGACGTGGGCTTCAATTTCTCATAGAAGACTTTTAAATTTCTTTATATCCAGAAAAGTGGGTAGACAAAAAATGTGCAGAATTTTTCTTGCCATCCTCTCACTGAGAGGGTAGACCTTCCACATTCTTAGCTTTACTCACAGAGCTCAATTCTTTGTCTTGTTTGGAACCAAAGTCATGTCTCCTGTCCCAGCGTGAGCTTTAAAACCCCAGCCCCTGGATCCTAGATCATAAGTAGCCGAACTTAAATTGCCTGTTGCCTGTTCTTGAGTTAAGAATGGTTTTTATGTTTTTAAATGCTGGGCAAAGAAATCAAGAGAATAATATTTCATGAAATATACATGAAAATTATATAAAATTCAAATTCTGGTGTCCATAAGGAACATTTTTTGGAATAGTTACTATCATTTATGCACATACTGTGCTACAATGGCAGAGCTCAGTAGTTATGACAGAGGCCATACGGTCTGCAAAGCCTAAAATATTTACTATCTTGTTCTTTTTCTGAAAAAGCTTGCTGAACCTTGGCCTACCATCTGGGCCTATATTTAGTACAAATCTTCTCTAGGCTTCAATGGCAAAAGGCATCCTTAGAGCTCAGTTGACAAGCATGCACAAGTGTACGAGACACTGTACTTCCTTCTTTTTCTTTTTTTTTAAAATATATTTTTATTGATTTTTTTACAGAGAGGAAGGGAGAGAGATAGTCAGAAACATTGATGAGAGAGAAACATCGACCAGCTGCCTCCTGCACACCTCCCACTGGGGATGTGCCCGCAACCAAGGTACATGCCCTTGACCAGAATCGAACCTGGGACCTTTCAGTCTGCAGGCTGACGCGCTATCCACTGAGCCAAACCGGTCTTGGCATGTACTTCCTTCTTGAGTCTCTCTATTCTCTTGGCTTCTGCGACATCACTTCTACTTTCCCTTTCATCTGCCTGTTCCCTCTCATTTTCCTTTATTAGCACCCTTTCCACTGTCCCCAATAGCTGTCCCTTTCTAAGGGTTTGGTCCTTGACTCTTTTTTCCCTTATTCTGTATACTTTGCGCTAAGGCTAGAGCTTCTTAGAGTGTAGATCACCTGGATTGTAATCATGTGGGTAATATTAAAACTGCAAGTTCTTGGGCCTGAATCCAGACCTACTGAATCAGAATCTCTGTATGTGGGGGCCCAGGAAACAGAATTTTTATACAAGTTCTCCAGGTTTATTTTTCCACACGAAAACTTTGGCCCTAAGTAATCTCCTTCATTCTCACCATTTTAATAATCAGTGATGTGTTTACAATGAAAAGTTGTATTTCCAACTCTGCCCTCTCTCCTGAACTCTAGGTTCTATAGGAATTGTCTCTAGGCACCTCCATCGGAATCTCATAGGCATAAATCCTACATGCACAAAAGAAATTCTTCCCAAATCTACTCTTCCTCCTCTGTTCTCTGTTTTTTTTTTTTTTAAATATATTTTATTGATCTCTTACAGAGAGGAAAGGAGAGGGATAGAGAGTTAGAAATATCGATGAGAGAGAAACATCGATCAGCCGCCTCCTGCACACTCCCTACTGGGGATGTGCCTGCAACCAAGGTACATGCCCTTGACCAGAAACGAACCTGGGATCCTTCAGTCCGCAGGCCAACGCTCTATCCACTGAGCCAAACCGGTCAGGGCTGTTCTGTTTTAATTAATAGTACCACCTTTCACCCTGCAGCCCAGGTCAGAAATCTGGGATCATTCTTAATTCTTCTCTTTCCTTTATTCTTCTTCGTAAATACTAGTATGACTTGCCTGGATCCCATCCATTGCCCCCAGCCACTACCCCTTGTTCCGGCTCTCACCTTCACATCTCCAGGACTATGATAGTTGACTTCTTACTACAGATGTCCTCACCTTTTCAAATCCACATTTCACAGTTATCTTTCTAAATGCACATTTACTATTACTCACTTGGCTTTCGGTCATGTTGTGCAATACCAGGGGGCACTACTACCTAGACTACAAAGTTTTCTAACTGGTACCTCACTGTTCTCATTATAGACAGAAGGATCTGATATATTACTCCCCTTTGGTGGCTTTCCAATATCAGCAGAATAAAGTTTCAGCTCTTTACATTTCAGATGAGGCCTGCCCTGCTCCAGCCACTGCCAACCTCTAACCTACCCTCTGGCCTTCCAACCCCTCCCCCACGGTTTGTGCTCCTTTCTTTTCTATAAGGATTCCATTTGTCCAGGATGCCCTTTCTTCCTTCACTGGCTCACCAAATTCCTCTGTCTATTCTTTTCCCCCCAAAAGTTGGCCAGGGTCCTGTGAGGAGATTTTCCTGAGTCCTCTAGGCAGAGGTGATCCTCCTCTCCTGCAGGCCAACTCTGACCTTGTGTCAGCCTGTGTTTATTATTCACCTTTCCACTAGACTTGGAGTAACTCTTGCTAACTCTTTTATCCCCTAGACCTGGCACAAAATAGGTTGCTTGGTAGATGTCCCTGAAAGTGACATGGGCCCAAAGGAATTAAGGATGACTCTACAGTTGGAACCTGAGTACCTAGGAGTACAAAGGTAAAAGGCCTCCATCAGAAGGAGTAGGAAAATCAGAAGAAGAAACAGTTTAAGAGGGAAGGGGCGAGACAACGGTTTCTATAACAAACATACTGAGCTTAGGACTGTGGCAGAATATCCAGGTGGAGAAGTCCAAGGGGAAGTGGAAATACAATATGCAAATTCCAGGGAAAGATCAAGCAGGACTAGAGTTATACTAGTAGATTTGGGGGACTCTGAAGCTATAATGGCTGATTTAATAACCAGGAGAGTATATTAATGCAAGAGAAAAAGGCAAAGAACATCAAGAGGCAAGAAGAAGAAAAGATGCCAGAAAAAGAAAAGTTGCTGAAGAAAAAGGTTAAGTACCAGGAAAATGCAATGTTAGAAAAGCCAAGGAAAACAGTTCCAAGAAAGAAGGGGATTACATTATCTCAGAATGACTGGGGATTATCTGGGTTGAAAATTACACTAAGGAAATTTTACATTAAAGAAAAATAAGTTTATGGAGAGTAGCTTTTTTACACTAAGCAGTTAGAGCGCTTATATGTAATTAAAGCAACCTAAATGATGGTTTCCCGAGTTACAAAGTTAACAAGTTCAAACATCACACTCTCTTGGGGTTCTCCATTTACATGTCCAGCATCAGAGACCACGGCACACCCATAGGGAGATCACGCAGCTCTCTGACTACAGAGTCAGGGCCATTCAGAACAGCGGAGAGGAAAACAAAGTCAAGATCAATAAAATCTGATCTGCATTATACCTGAAATAGGACCCAACTGTCCCATTTTCCCTAGCCATGGGAGAGGTTCTGGGCCAGGCTCAAAGAGGGACATCATGAGGTTTGATTTCTTCTTGCTGTCAGCTTGGGAGTAGAGCATTCCATGCCATTCAGGACTAGATGGAGAGAAGATGGAAAATCAGAATATCAAGCCTGTGACTGTCAAGTTAAGTAAGTCTAACCTGTGTTTTTCTCTTGAGTAGCATAAGCTTCAGCTTTGAAATCAGGTATATTACTTTTACTAAAGCCAAATCCTAAACCTGAAAATGCATACTGCCGCCCCCTAATATCACCATTCCTCTGGGACATGTATTTTTATTCAATTATGTAGACACGGAACGCAAAAACAACTGTTTATTTATTTATTTTAAGCCTCACCCACGGATATTTTTCCACTGATTTTTAGAGAGAGTGGAAGAGAGGGAAAGACCGAGAAATATCAATGTGAGAGAAATATATTGATTGGTTGCCTCCTGCATGTGCCCTGACCAGGGCCCCAGCCAGGGAGGAGCTTGCAACTGAGGTATGAGCCCTTGATTGGAATTGAACCTGGGACCCTTCAGTCTGCAGGCCGACACTCTATCCACTGAGCCAAAACAGCTAGGGCAAAAGCAGTCTTAAAAGAGAAAAAAATTACAAGGGCAGGAGGCAGCTGCTGGGGTGGTGGGGCGTAAGGGCTGCGATCTATTGGTTTTTTCAGTTGCCTCCATGAGTCATTCACAGCAGCACCAACACAGAGAAGACCTTGTAACAAAAGGCACAAAGCCATCACCCAGCTCTGCTCCCAATTCGCAAAGGGCCCCAGGTGCATTTTCAGAGCCAGTGCAAATAAGTTTGGGTACCAAGAAATACAGCAAACCAATACCTAAAAAGAGCTGCATTCTTCTTTTTGTACTAACTAATTTTATCTCAAGCAGAAATGGAGCCATTCTTCCTCTGATCTCGTATCAGTCTATCCCAGGCAATGGCCAGAAAAAGCTCAGTCACCTCTTCTTTTCTAACAACAGGTATTATAGAAAGGGAAGCAGGTAGCTTAGCAAATTCAAGCCTGCAGTGATTGGAGAAGCTAGAAGGGCTTTCCTCTTAGGGAAGAAATACAGCAGAGTGGTTACAAGCATGGCCTCTGGAGTAAAAATGCATAGGTAAGAATCCTGGCTCTTCCATTTACTAGCCATGTGACCTTGAGCAAGTTCCTTGACCTCTTACGCCTCAGTTTCTCATCTACAGAATGGGAATAATATCAATACCTCCTATGTAGTGTTTGTGAGAGATTAAATATGTTAATGAATGTAAGGAGCCTACAGGAGTGCTTGGCATATGGTAAATGTTCAATCAATTTTATCAGCATCTTTTTTCATTTAATTCTACCTCCTCATTTTGTAGCTGAGGAGTCTGTGAACACTGCATAAGACCTTAATAGCAAGTTGGTAGCATTGCTATAACTGAATCTAGGTTCCTAGATAAAATAGAAGAAAACTTCTATAATCTAAAAGCAATATAATTAAAAGGCTTTTTTACTTAATCTAGGGTTGGGGTGGGAAATGTCTGGCCCGAGGGCTGTGTAAGGCCCTCAAAATCATTTGGTCTGGTCCCGCCAAGGCATAAGGAGTGAGTTAATTAAATGTTTGACCAAATATAGCAGGCTAATTTTTAAGTTGATAATTTTGTATGGCCCTCGAATGATGTTATAAATATCCAAATGGCTGTTGGCAGAAAAAAAGGTTCCCCACCCCTGCTCTAGGGGATAATTTAAAGAGCAATTTAAAAGGCGATGGTAGGTGGGAAGGGTATGGCAGGGAGAGGAAAAAGGAGACAAGGACCTTTCTATTTCTTTCAGAAAAGTCTGTGGCTGTTTCTAGCCTTGGAAGGAAAGTAAATGGATTTATAAAAGGAAAACTCATATTCTGGTGTTCCTATATCCATATAAAAATCAGTTTCCACATGTTTATGAATTCCATTTTTATGAAACATCCAGAAGAGGCAACTCTACAGCGACAGAGAGGACATTAGTGGTTACCTGAAGAAGATGAAGGGCTTAGGGGTTTTAAAATTCTGATTCTAAAACGAACTGTGGTGATGGTTGCACAATTCTGTAACTATACTAAAATGTACTGATTCGTATACTTTAAATGGGTGAAATGTCTGGTATATGAATTACATTTTAGTGAAGCTGATACACGCAAAAATTAGTTTTCCACAGCTTTTACTAGGACACTCAGCTAGGTGCTCTCTGAGGGTTTCAAGTACCTTCTAAACAAAACCACATATTCAGAGACAGCAAGAGTATTCTCAACTGACAGCCTTCAGGAGCACACGGATGCGAGCCTCCCCTGACCCAAGACGAAGAGTGTTACTCCATAAACTTTTTGATCTGACTCTCCAACACCAGGTTCTCTCATGCACTCTGCTGACAAATGGATCTTCCTACAATTAACTTCTCTTTGGAACTATCTGCCCATGCAATCTTATGCAAAGACTTTTTAAGAATTTGTATAAGAATTTGCCGTTTATTTTGACATTCAAAAGCCCTTAAGACATGGCCCCATTCTGCCTTCCTACACTTTTCTTTCCACTGTTCCCCTACATAAACTCTTCATTTTGCCCACTTTCTTGGCAATATATATATGGGCATGCAGAATCCCTGCCTCCTTTCCTGCCATCTCTAGCCCTTGAAGTAAGGAAAACTTGGATATCAATATTAATATCAAGAACAATAAAGTAAATTATGAACAATAATCACTATAAGCCATCTTTGGGCACATTTCAAGATTCCGTCTGTGCATGTGTGATTGAGGGTTATGGAATAGCCAATTTTACAACTGAGACAACCACCATCAACTGAATGTGATCATAACTCAGTAAGTAGAAACCTGACTGACTACATATGCTTCTTGGAGAGAGCTGGTGAACATAAAGTGGATGGTCAGCCTAGAACAGAGAAAAGAGAAGTTTCAAGTGCTAGAGACTAACATTCTCCATAGAGATGTTTAATTTGGGGGACATGACTATAGTCCCTGGAGAGCTTTATTCTGTAGTAATGAAGCCTCCCAAGGGGCTGGATTCTTCCATTTTATTGCACAGTATTTACTGAGTATCACTGGTAGAGAAGAGGTGTAGTTTCTCCCCTTATGGAGCTGTATTTCACTCCATATTTATCAGGCAACCTCTAAGAATCACTTTGGCTTCCTCGCCATCCTTCTACCAGGAAAGGCAGAGCCTTGGATTAGGGACAAAGCATTGTCATCTTTAAAGAGGACCTCCACTGTAAATTAATAAAGCAATACACAATAAATATGTGTCAATATGCTTTCCACAGTGTAAGACTCCAGAACTAGTTTTCTAGTAGAAGAGGCAATAGTCCATTTTTAAAAAATTCAATCCAAACCAATCACTATTCCTTTCCCAAAAACTCTGCAAAATGGGCTATTCTATTATCTGACACTTAAGAATAACTTTAGACAATAAGATACTTCACATGTATCACTGAATAGGAAGAGAACTCACCTTTGTTAAGTGCTATCGGTAGGACCAAATGTCTGGACAGAACTGGAGGACTGGAAATATCAGCTATATCAATAAACCCCACTATTTCCAAATCTGAAAAGGATAAATCAACATAGAATTAATTAGTTCTATAGGAAAATACATTATTTTCTATGTACTAGATTTCATAAACACAATGTTTAATTTAGATATGGAATTCAAATATGATGGGTAGGAAGGTTAGAAGTCTTCCAGATAACTAATACATTTTCATTTAAGTAGCTCAGAAAATAAGAATAATTATCCTTTTTTATTGAATTTAAGTTATATGACAAATCAGCTAAACTTTATTTTTATGAGGGTAGATCCCCAGCCAAAGCAAAAGGTGAAGGCCAAATCCCTCTATATCATCAGGGATTTTTCAAGCCCACCAGGCTTCATAGTCAAACACTTCCACAACTCCAACCAAGCAACCTTGGAGGGTAAAGCTATTCTGAGAAAAAAATACATTCCCTGCAAAATCAAGCTAGCAGTCTAAATATGACAATGGTTTCTTTGTTTTAGAGAGGCCTATTAAAGACCAAAAGTATTTGTTGGAAACATAAAAGTTGTAACCCAAAATACTTCTTAAAAGTTTTTAGGTCCTCCCACCCCCACCCCCATCATATAAATAGTATAAAAGCCTGGAAAACACTAAAAATTCTAAAGAAGGAAACTAACATTACTCATTATTTATCATCAAAGGAAACCTCTATTAATATTTTATTGGCCCTGTCCGGAGTTGCTCAGTGGTCAGACAGTCAGTCTGGGGACCAGGGTTTTGGGTTCCATTCCCAGCCAAGGGCACATACCTGAGTTGCAGGTTCATCTCTGGCCCCAGTCGGGGTATATGCAGGAGACAACTAATCAATGTGTCTCTCTCACATTGATGTTTCTCTCTCTCTCCTCTTACCTCCCTCCCGTCCACTCTCTCTAAAAGAATCAATGAGAATTAACAACAACAAACATATATATTTGTATGTGTGTACACACATACAGTGTATGTATGTGTGCATATACACGCACACACACACATATATATATTTTACTGAATTGCTTTTCAGTCTTGTAGCATATATACACACTCATATTTTCAAAACAATTAAAAAAAATCAGGCTTGTGGAGTGTACACTGTACTTGTAAGACTCAGGAAACTGCTTTTCTGGAGATTTGCCTTTATTACCTTCTTTAGCTGAATGACAAATGAATCAGCAAAAGCAGCTACATATTTTTCATTTGAGTAGAAAAGGGTTTAAGTATAAGTTATTACCAAGATCATGGACTAAAAGTTTATTTATATAGGAAAGAAAAACCTATTCAAAGTTACTCATCCAAAACAGATGGGAGGGGATCTAACTGAAGGTTTGACATAGCTTAATACACGGTTGTCTCGTCACAATGAGAGATGGATGCCCTACTTCTAGATAGCCAGGAGCTAAATGCACAAAAAATAAAAAGCCTGTGCTTAGTCCTTCACTCTATTACTCCTTAAAACTGTACAGCCAAGCCCTGGCTGGTTTGGCTCAGTGGATAGAGTGTTGGCCTATGGACCAACGGGTCCCAGGTTTGATTCTGATCAAGAGCACATATCTTGGTTGCAGGTTCCTCCCCGGCTCAGGCCTTGGTCAGGGTGTGCAGGCCCTGTGTGCAGGAAACAACCAATTGATGTATTGTCAACATCTACTAAGCATCTGACACTATGCTAGGCACTGAGGGTGCAATGGTGACTGACACAGGGATGGTTTAATGTGTACCCACAGCTCAAGGAGTTCACCCTCCAACAGGAGACAACTCTCCTCTCTACTGTTCCTTGTTACTTTTGACTCTTCGCTTTGCCAATCTTAGCTAAGCCCAGCACTGGCCACATGAACCAGGTAAAAGCAGTGCCACTTCACTTTCTTTCAGTCATAATATAAGCAGCGGGGCTAGAGAGGTACAGAGCTGAGATTTTAGAGACCATCACCTACAGATTCCACTCACTTAGCCAGTAAGAACTAGAGGAAGTGTCTTGTTCAGGGCCACGCAGGAAGAGTCACTCAGCCAAGTTTAGAAGCCAGCCCTTCATATCTGACCCCAATTATGATGCTAAGTAATGTTAGTATCTATTACGAATTACCTCAAGGATTTCAATGCTCATGAATCTGGCCATGATTTCCAACTCTAGAATTTGGGGTTATTATCTAGGATTGGAGATTAATTCATGACCTCACCATCACCACAAAGGACTACTAATCTGCTACCCCTTAGGCCAGGGGTGGGCAAACTTTTTGACTCGAGGGCCACAATGGGTTCTTAAACTGGACCGGAGGGCCGGAACAAAAGCATGGATGGAGTGTTTGTGTGAACTAATATAAATTCAAAGTAAACATCATTACATAAAAGGGTACAGTCTTTTTTTTTTTTTTTAGTTTTATTCATTTCAAACTGGCCGGCCCACGGGCCGTAGTTTGCCCACGGCTGCCTTAGGCAATGCATCCTCCCATCCAAAGTGTATAACCGATGATGACAGCATCCTCGCATCAGAATTTACATTTCTTTTTAACAGTCTTGGATAGAGAGGAGTAAAAGTCAAAAGTTAGGAAAAAGTTAGGATAATAGAAGAACTAAGAAGGAAGTTTTAAAAAAAGTTACCTGTGTTAATGACTTTAGGGATAGGATCGATTTCCTCATCTACAACAAAAGGTTCTGGCCTGGGGAAGACTTGCACATCTGCAGTTAGGTGGCCACACTTGAGAACAGCATGGAAAGGCGTGTATGCCAGATCTATCAGTTTTCTAGAATATGATGATTGATTATTATAGGAAGAGTAAGATGATACATACAATATTTTTCAAGTAATTTTTTCAAGATGCTAAGTTGTTTTCCCTTTGAGTTGACTCCAAAATGAGGTGACCATTTTGAAACAGAACAAAATCTGACATTTTTGGTGAAGCAATTTCAATTCTGAAAAGTCCTAAAGCAAGTTACTCTTTGAAATTGCCGAGTCACTGTAAGGACGTCAATATAGATTTAGTCATGTTTAATTCAAAAGGGAATGAACTTCTAAAAATCATTTCTACCAAGCATTTTATCTGAAAAATGTGAAACTTGGGGGAAATGAAATGACACAATTAGAAATAGTAAAATACATAATGGACTGTAAGAAGGCAAAAAAAAGCTCTAAGTACATACTCACCCAAACATAGACTGAACATTTTTCAAGCATAGGGGGCCATCAATAGTAAAAATCTGCCCTTCACCATTGTTTAAATCTATGAGACGTTCCAGGCAATCCAAGGAGTCAGTGCTCTGAAGCTACAAAGCAAAAACAGTTGAGTTGTTTAAAGTAGCACAAAATGCCAGATTATTAACAGCACACAAGGTCATGCCCATCACAATAACACAGGCAATAAATATAATGGAGATGATTTTGAGGCAGAAGAGTAAGATGCTAGAGAAATTCCTTGGCAAGTAGAATATGGAAAACTGAGACAATATAATTAAGCAAGGCCAAACAGTCTGAGCAAGCTAATGAATCATAAGGTTTTATCTTCCCTAACCAAGGACACTAAGGAGCAAATGGTTTACATAATTCAGACTGTCCTGGGACAGAATGGCCTTGGTCAGGTCCCTCTTCAATGACGTTCTTGATGACATTTTTTAAAAATGAAACTAACCAGAAAATAACCCGACTTCTTTATGCTCACTTTGATGAATCAACTTATTGAAGGACACACCTGAAAAGCTAATGAATATTCTGCTAAGACCTTCCCCTGAGATCTTCCCTAGCATTCCAGCAGGCTAGAGAGAATAAAAGCCTCAACGCAAAGGAAGAAGAGTGTGCTCTCACAAGAGCATGCTGTGGCCTTGTATCTTTGCTGTTTTTCTCCTAAACTCTAAGGGACCCCATGAGACTTGCAACCAGGAGAGCATTGGGCAGTGGCAACTAGACCCAGGCTAACCCCCTGAACCTGTCTCCAAGGACCACTTTTCTCTGAATTTTCTTCTCCTATTGCTTTTCCTACCTTAAGTCCTCCCTTTGTTTCATGTCTTCAGCTTTAATAAACATACTCTCAAAAACACCTGGACTCGCATTGTGAAATCTTTCCTATTCAAAGTCAAGAACCTGTACTTTACCAGTAGGCCCTAGGCCAGACTTGTCTGGTAACAATTTAACAATGTGAGCAGGAAAACAACTATAACAATTTTGATTCAAAGTTACCAAAGAAGAAATGTCATATAAAATGATACCAGTAGAGCTATTTAATTCAGATGTAGTTTTGCAAAGATTCTCAGAGATGACCACGGTTGGTATTGACATACTATCTTTCCTCCAAAGTATTTCTAACATCTTTGGTAAGTACCATTATCATCTACATTTTATAGATAAAAAAACTGAGATGAAAATAGCTTTTCTGATGAAAATAGTATAACCAGGAAATAGAGTTTAATAAAACATACATCAGAGTAATGTTACTTTACCAAAAAAATCAAAGCACACTTCCATCAATATTTCTGGCGGAATGGACTTAAGAATTCCTAAACGATGGAAATATCCAACATTTAAAAGAACATTTCAGCATCTGAAGAGTCTTGATGGACAATAGGATGGTTAACAACTCTAGCTATATTTCCTAAAATGGAGCAGTGCTTTTAACTTTCAAAGAGCATTTGAGCTCTAGGGTCTTTTCAAAGATAACTGATCAGCCTCAGCTGAAACCAATGGAGTTCAATGTTATAGTATCTGCAATATAATACTAAGGGGATATACATACTAAAAAATAAACCGAGTCCTAAAATATATCTAATCAAACTGGAAAAAACTTAGTAAAACGCATTACCTCCTCCAAATTTGCCATACACATGATGTATAACTTAGATGGGAAGGGAAAAGGTAGTGGGAACCTGTTGCTCTCACTTCGTTGATTGTGAGTAGCTAGGGAATGCCGCAGTGACCCTCTGCCAATGCCAAGACAGCCATCTGTCACCAGAACAACCTGTTTGCAAAAAGTGAGAGAAGGTTTATATATAAAACATACTCATTTAAAGCAACCTCATTTAGCAATTTCATTTCTCCAATTGCATATATACTGAAAAATCCACCTCTGCAAAGATAGAAGCAACTATGTAAATAAATCTCAAAAATATTCTGTCAAATGAAAGATGACAGATACATTGTATAATTCTATTTATATAAGGTCTAGAACAGGTAAAACAAAGCTAAGAAAAACCAAACAGGGGTTGTGGGCATGGGAGGATACTGACTAGAAAGAGGCATAAGAAAACTTTGGGGGGAAATGGAAGTGTTCTATGTTTTTTACTGGAGCAGTGGTTACATAGGTATATGCATGTGTCAACACTTAGTGAACTGTGTACTTAAGATCTATGCAATATACTGTATTTTATCTAATTAAACCTTTAAAAAAGCACCTACCTGTGAAAACTTTAAAAAGGACAAAAACATTCATAACTAGCGCTTAGTCAATTGTACTAAAATTAGAATCCTATCTCTTAGATAAGGAGGTGGCACCTAAGGCATCAATGTGAAAAAATGGCATGAGGGCCTATTTTATGTTTCCCTAGAGATTAGTAGCACAGAACTCTGAACCTTGACACTTTATTTTTATTTTTTTTTTAAATATATTTTATTGATTTTTCACAGAGAGGAAGGGAGAGAGATAGAGAGTCAGAAACATCGATGAGAGAGAGACATCGATCAGCTGCCTCCTGCACATCTCCCACCGGGGATGTGCCCGCAACCCAGGCACATGCCCTTGACCGGAATCGAACCTGGGACCCTCCAGTCCGCAGGCCGACGCTCCATCCACTGAGCCAAACCGGTTTCGGCGACACTTTATTTCTAAAGATGACAAACTCTACCCTTGGTTAACTAGAATAACAACTGCATTAAAAATATATTTATTAAAACCACTTAAACATATTTTTATTGATTTCAGAGAGGAAGGAAGAGGGAGAGAGAGATAGAAACATCAATGATGAGAAAAAACCATTGATTGGCTGCCTCTTGCAGGACCCCTACTGGAGATGAAGCCCATAACCTGGGCATGTGCCCTGACTGGGAATTGAAACATGACCTCCTGATTCATAGGTCAACACTCAACCACTGAACCACACTGGCTAGGCTATTAAAAACCATTTAACCACATGTGTACAAGACCTTTAAAATACATTCTTAGTCAACCTGTAATTTGAAACCCTTCAAAATATCCTAATGAGAGACTATAATTACAAATCATTTTTCTTTTCTTCATTGTTTTAAAGCAATTCTGTGGGGGGCAGACTTTTCCAAGCATTTCAGATAAGAATTATCTTAGCTCTCCAGTAACTTGATAATACAGGCCAATAAGGAAGTATTAGGTAGTTGCACCATGTGAAGTAACAAGATCGGCACCTACTTCTAAAACCCAAGAATGCTTACTTCATAGAGGTCCTCTGGAGCAATGTCATCTTTTGGGAAGATAGTCAATTGACTACAAAGTAATTTCCTCTTCTAGGTACCAATAATTGCTATTTAATGATATACTTCTGCCACTAGTTTCTTCAATACTGTATGATGAAATATTTCATGGAATGTCAAAATGAGACAGATTTTACTCAAATAATAAAGACACAGTCCAGCTATCTCAAAGGTTGGTTAACAAATTTCCACATTAAAATAAATATTTGACAGTAATTGATTATAAAAATAATCACTAATAACTTCCACCTCTAGTCCAGTGTTTTGAATTGTTCACCCCAAAACTCATCAAATAAGTTAAAGTGGATTCAGGCCCAGACCTTGTCCTCAGGGTACAATACATCTCTAATTCAGATTCTTCCTTTTTGCAAAGGAAGAAAAAACAATAAAAGGCAGAAGTCTTTCTGGTGCACAAATTCTCTGAATTTCTTCTCTAAAACTACTGAAGACTATCATACGGAGGAGACCTGACTTTGTGTGGTAGGGCACGCAATATACAGATGAGGTATCATTGAATTGTACACTTGAAACCTATATAATTTTATTAACCAATGTCACCCCAATATACTTAATTAAAAAAATAAAACTACTGAAGAAACAGCAAATGAAATTGTGCTACTTGCTAGCTTCCAGTTCAGAAGATACTGACAATAAAACTTCATTTATTTAGTATATTGTCAGGAAATTGGATATTCTGTTTGCATGGATTTACCAAGTAAATAATGTTCATGAAGTAAGGTGACAAACATTCTTATTTCTGAAAATAAATTAATTAAAAGGCATTTACTAGCTTTTTTTTTTAGCAAGGGTCCACTAAAGTATTTGATTTAACCTTTTAGTAGTAGCTCAGGGTCTTCATTAACCCATTAGTTCATACTCTATAAAACAGGGTAGTTTTACAGCAAAAAAAAACCAAACAATTTTTAAAAAGTTGGGTATATTGATATATAATTTACACGCAATAAAATTCACCCTTTTTAGTATACAGTTCTGAAAAATGCTTTTAGTGATGTAACCACTTCTGCAATCAAGATGAAGACCAGTTCCATCATTTCCAGTATTTCTTTGTCCTTCATTTAGGAAGAGTAAGTCAACCCCTACCTTTCCCTTACCCACAGGCATAAATACCAGTGATGTCACTGACACTAATGAGGAAGACTGTGTTTGACCCTAAAATACAAATCATACACTATGGCCCATTGCCTGTTTTTGTAAATAAAGTTTTACTGGAACACAGCATGCCCGTTTATTTGCTCATTATCTATGGCTGCTTTCATGCTATGACAGCGAAGTTGAGGAGTTGCCACGGGCACCTGCAAAGCCTAACACAGGAAAAGTTTGCTGACTCTGTTGCAGACTACAGTATTATAATTTTCCTCTTAGCACCTTTCTTAAAATATGCTACCACTTCTTAAAGCACCTGTGTATAGCAAACTTCCAATTCTCTTTTTCAGCAATTATTCTGCTCTGATTTGATGCTAATATAGACCTACTATAGACTCTAAGTAAAGGGCAACCGATTTCCTGACATTCATACTCCTTACTTTTTAGATAACAGATAGTTAAGGTGGTTAAAAGTTGGCTGAGTAAATGCTACATTGAGATAACGAAGATAGACTACATTGTACTGATGTTTAAAATTCTATCACTCAAAAAATTAAAATTAACCCTTCTAGAGAGTGTTCTAAAATCCCACTGTGGGCCCTTTGTATTTTACACAAATAATACTAGTTTTCAAGAAGTCAATTTACTAGGAGGATGCTTTCTTTAAGGCACAATTGTGCTGCTTCCTGAGCATATTAATGTTGATTTAGTGCCTTCTTTAAAAAGATACCACAAGCATATAATATAGTTTGTAGAAATTACATTCCATGCTGTGTTAGAGCTTAAAGAAAATGAAAGCACCTCAGTGGTTAATGTTTTTAACTTAGAGCAATGAAAAAGAATTGATAATTACCTGGCAAGGAATTGCACCACCCCATTCTTGCTGAACAATGTTGCAAACACCAACTAATGCAGACTCCAAGCAGGTTTTATCATAATCATCCATATTACTTAGTGCTTCCTAATCGAATAAAAGATAAAACTGCTCATTTTAATTTGTTATCAGAATACAACATAAAAGCATGCATGTTACATAGGGGACATTGTTTCTAAGAGTCCCAAAGCACAGGTTCTTAAAAACAGTAAAACGGACTTCCTCAGCTATAAAGGATAATGAAAAGAGTTCCCTTCATTCTGTCCTCTTTATCAGGTGAGAGTGAACAGCTCACCAAGTTCATATCTTTCTAAGTGGACCTTGAAAGAAATAATTAAAATGAATCACTTTTAAAAACATCACAAAAATGCCAACATTTACTGAGAACTAACTATATCCTAAATACCATTCTAGGCACTTTACATGCATTAACTCATCACAACACCCTACCCATTTAAAAAAAAAAGAATAATTTATTTATTTTGAGAGAGGGAGAGGGAGAGAGAAACATCAATGTGAGAGAGCAACATATGTGATAGGCTGCCTCCTGCATGCTCCCCACCAGGGATTATGTCCATAGTCAGTCTGACTGCAGGACTCCAGGTCTTAACAATTACTCTGCACCACCTACCTTAAGAGTTCTCTAATTTTTAGAACTGCTGGAGATCCAAAATCCTTAGTTTACTCACTTATAAGAAATCCAGTGCAATTAAAAAAAAAACACGCTTTTGAGTCACTTAGAAAAAGTTAGACAAAAAATAATGATTTAACAAAATTTTATTACTTACACTTTAAAAATCAAACTACACTGACCCTGGATTTCTAAACTGCCTAGCAATTAGTAAACTATTCAATTTAATTTCACAAACACTTATTGGCTGATCACTATGGGTAAGGCACTGTGCTAGGCTGTTGGAAATACTAATGAACGTTAGGGAATGGGCCACTACATCCTGAGAGAATTCCAGGAAACGAAGAGAAGAAAATAAGACAACAACTCACAACTCTAACTCATAATCCTACCAAAGACATAAAACCTACCGGTTGTGAATCCTTGTTTTATAGCTATACTTAGATATGACACCCATAGATTTATCATTCAATAATTCCAAGTTCTAAATATTCAGTACAATATGATAACACTTTTTACTCCCTATCAATTTGGACCTTGTACATACAATAACTCATTCCTTTTTATACCTGTAGGGTGTTATAATCTCTTGTGAAGGGAACCATCAGCTCCCAGAGTGATGAGAAAACCACCAGGGCTGTAAACTCAAGCTTGTAATTCGTGGCCATGTGCTCAAACAGCATTGTCAAACCGTGGGCTGCTAGGTGCTTGCGCTGATATTCTTCAGACCCCTCAACAGACACAGGTCGGGTCATGGAAAGGGATACGTCCATTACCACCACTGTTGGCATGATGAAAATGAGCCCTATGTTCCCAATCAGAATGCAGACAGACGGCTATAAATAGAAAAATGCTGTAGAAAATAAATATGGTTAGGTTATATGTCATGGAGAGTACAAAGTCTTTCCCCCCGCAACCATAATTTTAAACAAACTTTCCAGAAATGAGTGGAAGCAAACTCCATGTAAGTGAGGTGAGGGCAAATCTAGAGAATGCAGTGGGAGGGAAGCAAGCAAGCAATCACCCACTAAATGGCTATAAATCAAGAATGGCCTTAAGTATTTCTATTAAAAAAACCCACACAAACATTAAATTCAGGTAGTCCTTGACTTTCACAGTTCCAAATTTTATACAACTTAATATAACACACATCCTACATCCTCTCTCCAACACAGAATTTACTAAAGAACATTTCTATTTGTCACATTGTGGCGCTTTTTGACAATCGGCCAGTCCTTTTGGGCACCATCACTATCTTAATTGATATAACAGTACAGTGCAAATGTTTATCTTGTTACTTGGTGTCCCCCCCCCCCCCCATCTAACCCTAACCCCCCCTTCTTTTTAATTAAAATGAATGCAAAATATAAAAATGAAAGGACCAGAAAAATCATAATCCAAAATAGACAAAGCTGGGAATCATTAAACATGACAAAAGCAAGACTATTAGCATCAGTAGTATTTGTTGAATGTAAACAGGCAACAAGGCTTTAACTGGGAAGGAAAAGAATGAAGTTAAAGAGTTTGTATGACACCTGGCATTATCTCATGAAACTGTGTATAAGAGTCAAACTGTACAAGAAATGGAGAAGACAAAAAGTTCTTTAAAATTATGGATTGAGAATTAGCACAAAGAAAACATTTCTCGTCTCAAAAATAAAGAAAAAAGTTCACAGATACATAGACCTGCTCTTGGGAACACAGCTTACTGCTACTCTATAATGCAAACTACAGTCTAATGACACAATAAAATATCATATAAATAAATGACACATGTAGATATCAGAAATATTTATATAAAGTGTTAGTGAGAAAAGCAGGTCACAGGATCGTATGCATATATACAATTAGGTAAGACTCTGAATGGACATAAACAGGTTAGGCATTTAATGTTCACTAATTTCTTTTTGAACTTACTTCAAAACACCTAACAGTGGCCAGACTGCTTGTTTTCGTACAATTTCCAACTGCAAATGTGTGATACTTTAAAAGTCCATGTGCAAATAGGCTGCAAGGGGTGGGGAGGCATGGGCTCAGAATATATTGGTTCATGGAAACAATGTTATAAATGAGGGCCAGGGACTGAGTCAGGTAGGAAAAACCTCTTTAGCACATAATGAATGGCCTGAGATACATTTCAAATACAATAATGCATCATGTATCCAATATCAATAAAGACTAAACTAGAGATATAAAATACATTTCCAGACTTTAGAATTCTAAAATATTTAACCACTTTGATAGAAAAAATTAAATTGTGTATTGCTCTTAAACACTGTGTGCTAAACGTATAATTCACGTCTTACGATGACTTGACCTCGCCACTGTAAACACCAACAATTGCCCAACCAATTTGCTACCCTGATGTTTTACTTATAATAGATTCCCCCAAGTGTGTGATGAGGAGCACTGTTCTGGAAGGGTCTTCCAAGAAAAATGAGTTCAGGCCTTATTACAGAAGCCGAGTACTATAGCAATGAATCCAACATAATTTGCTAACCCTGTGTTTCCCATTTAACCCTCTTTATGTAATTACTGTGAAGGTCCGATAGAATAGTATAGTGGTTCCCAACCTTTTTCTTGGCCATGCCCCACCTACGCATCTCTAAAATCCTGATGCGCCCCCTGTGACACATAATTCTTATTCAAAAAGTGAACTCCTATTCACGTGGAGGAAGCCTAAAAGCCCATTAACTCGGTCTAAACAAGCTTCTAAAGAACATGGCATCCATGAAAAAGAAAAAGAAAGGAATGAAGAGCAGTTTAAGTACTGAGGAAGAAATCACTAAGAAACTGTTGAAAAATAATAATAATATGAAGTGATATGAAAAAATAGCAAAAGCTGTGACTGGTTTGGCTCAGGGGATAGAGCGTCGGCCTGCGGACTCAAGGGTCCCAGGTTCGATTCCAGTCAAGGGCATGTACCCTGGTTGCGGGCACATCCCCATTGGGGGGTGTGCAGGAGGCAGCTGATTGATGTTTCTCTCTCATCAATGTTTCTAACTCTCTACCCCTCTCCCTTCCTCTCTGTAAAAAATCAATAAAATATATTTTTAAAAAAAGAAAAAATAGCAAATAAACTTCCAAAACATATAATAGAGAACTGAAATGCATAAATATGTGCTATATATATATACACACACACACACACACACTGTATATGAGGCCCCTAGAACTGTAAGAAACGCAAAAAATTCATGGTTAATAACTTATTCTCGAATTGCCTCCCTTAAAAGTCAAACTGCCCCCCATGGGGCACGTGCCCGTTGGGAACCACCCGTATAGAACATACATGGAAACACTGGCCTTGTGTCCAAGAAATGCAGGCTGTTGTGCTGTTTTGGTGCCTTCTCTTTAGAATCAGCTTGCATTTCACTTTTTTCTCAGGAATCCTCCGTCATCACCCTCCCTCTAATTTGCTGCTTCTTGGCCACAACGCTGGAGAGAGAGCCAGATAACCAAGTTTGTTAAAACTGTGTCCAAAGTCGAAGTGACCAATTCTGAGAGCTCGAGGTAGTGTCAAACACATTCAGCTTAGGTGTGTCAAACTGGTACTATTCCATCTACTCAGTCTCTTTAAATTTCCTTTCTGGGTCTCAGCTGTGTGGTTCAAGTGAGGCCCTGCACAATGTTGGTTCAACCACATTACATCAGAGAATACACCCCGTAAGGGTGGGGACCGAGTCAGACTTTGCCAACAGATGTCTCCTCCGCGTCTATCACAGTCAGTGGCACACAGTAAGCACTTGGCGAATGTTGGATGACTAATGAACTGCCCCTAATTGCCATCTATAACATTAATTCTTTGGCCAACCACCTGAGAATTCCGAGGCCAGAAACACACGTTTTCCTCCTCCTCATTCAAGCAGAGTCACCAGCGACCCCTACGTCTCTGCCCACTTGCAGTCTATGCAGATGGATGGTGGCCCCCCTCATGCACAGAGGCCTTCCTGTGACTGAAAGTTGGGGGTCACAGGGAGTACTACCCTTGCCTCTTGGGAGACCGGGAGGCAGGGCAGAGTTGGATCAGGTGTAAGAAAGCACTGCCGGCCCATGGACTCTGCTCAGCGCGGGAGCGGGTGGCCGTCACAGGCAGCCTTGCCTTCTCTGCACACACCTCCGGCGATGCCCTTCTCCTGGCCGATGCATGCGTGTCCGCCAGCAAACACGCCTCCTTAACAATGGCACAGTCGGCGGAGGCCCATTTAGTAAGTCAGGTTGCAGCATGGAAGTAAAAGAACTGAGTGTGTGGAAGGATGGTTCACTCAAGCAGTGTAGGCCTGGTCAGAGAAAACCTGCCCACCACCGTCCGGCAATGCTGGGAGAGCCTGATGGAGTCTCAGGTGGGCGAGTCTCACCTGCAGGTCTCCCACCCACCCCACACCTGCCCCAAAGTAGTGTGTCCACACAGCGCGCAGGACAAGAACAGTCTACTGATAACAGGCCCTCGCGCCAATTTGGCCTCGATGCCAGGCCTCCATCAGTACACATTTATAATTCTCCCCTAAAGGTGACAACCAGCTTATTTATAAAGAATTGATTCTCAGCAGTTTAGCTCTCAAAGCGTGAGAGAGAGAGAGAGAGAGAGAGAGAAAGAGAGAGAGAGAGAGAGGTCTGGAAGTCTCTTAGGGGGTCAGGGGGCACCGAGGCCTGAGCCGAGGTCCGAAATCCTGGTGTTTGCGCGGAGTAGGCGACCCCGAGCTTCAGAGAGGGGGAGGCCGGGGGCAGGGCCCGGAACCGGCGCCGCAGAGACCGCGCGGAGCGACAGCCGGAACAGCGGGAAAGGCGGGCCCTGCCCCCGCATTGCTCCCCACCCTTGACCCCTGC